TGGTTTTCAGCACCATCAGGTCATTGAACTCTTCTCTACACTGATTATTCTAGTTAGCCATTCATCTAATCTTTTTCCAAGTATTTTAGCTTCCTTGCGATGGGTTATAACATGCTCCTTTAGCTCAGAGAAGTTTGTTATTATTGACTTTCTGAAGCCTACTTCTGTCAGCTCGTCAAACTCATTCTCCACTCAGTTTTGTTCCCTTGCTGGTGAGGAGTTGTGTTCCTTTGGAGGAGAAGAGGCACTCTGGTTTTTGGAATTTTCAGCCTTTCCACTCTGGTTTCTCCCCATCTTTGTGGTTTTATCTACCTTTGGTCTTTGATGTTCGTGACATATGGATGGGGTTTTGGTGTGGTTGTCCTTTCTGATGATGTTGATGTTATTCTTTTCTGTTTGTTAGTTTTCCTTGTAACAGATAGGTCCCTTAGCTGCAGGTCTGTTGGAGTTTGCCCTTGGGTGCACTCCAGACCCTGTTTGCCTGGGTATCACCAGCGGAGGCTGCAAAACAGCAAGTATTGCTGCCTGATCCTTCCTCTGGAAGCTTCGTCCCCGAGGGGCACCCACTTGTATGAGGTGTCTGTCAGCCCCTTCTGGGAGGCGAGGCTCCAGTCAGGCTACATGGAGGTCAGGGACCCACTTGAGGAGGTGGTCTGTCCATTATCAGAGCTCAAACGCCGTGCTGGGAGAACCACTGCTCTCTTCAGAGCTGTCAGGCAAGGACGTTTAAGTCTGCAGAAGTTGTCTGCTGCCTTTTGTTCAGATTTGGCCTGCCCCCAGAGGTGGAATCTAGAGAGGCAGTAGGCCTTGCTGAGTTGCAGTGGGCTCCACCCAGTTCAAGCTTCCCTGCTGCTTTGTTTACAGTGTGAGCATAGAACCACCTACCCAAGCCTCAGCAATGGTGAACGCCCCTACTCCTGCCAAGCTCCAGCATCCCAGGATGATATTAGATTGCTGTGCTAGCAGTGAGCAAGGCTCCATGGGTGTGGGACCCGCTGAGCCATGCATGGGAGGGAATCTCCTGGTCTGCTGGTTGTGAAGACCAGGGGAAAAGCGCAGTATTTGGATAGAAGTGTACCGTTTCTCCAGGTACAGTTACTCATGGCTTCCCTTGGCTAGGAAATGGAAATCCCCCAACCCCTTGCACTTCCCGGGTGAGGCGATGCCCCGCCCTGCTTCAGCTCGATTTCCATGGGCTGCACCCACTGTCCAACCAGTCCCAATGAGGTGAAGCAGGTACCTCAGTTGGAAATGCAGAAATCACCTGTCTTCTGCATTGATTTCACTGGGAGCTGTAGACCGGAGCGGTTCCTATTTAGCCATCTTGGAAGCAATGATAATCATTGTTACTGTGACATAATTACAAACGAATTGTTTTAGTCAAAAATATTATTTTTTCTTTTAGTGGCTCAATTGGTAAGTTGTTTTCTATCACAGTCTTTAGTAGCACAATGTAGCTACTTGGTGAACACAGAGAAATGTAAAGAAACCGTTCTATTTATCTTTGTCATACTCTTGTTCGGTTTGCTTGTTGATGTTTTTTTTGTTTTGTTTTGTTTTGGTTTTTTTCGAGACAGAGTTTCACTCTGTCACCCAAGGCTGGAGTGCAGTGGTGCAATCTCGGCTCACTGCAACCTCACTTCTGGGGTTCAAGCAAGTCTCCTGCCTCAGCCTCCGGAGTAGCTGGGATTACAGGCATCTATCACCATGCCCAGCTAATTTTTGCATTTTAAGTAGAGAAAGGGTTTCGCCATGTTGGCCAGGCTGGTCTCGAACTCCTGACTTCAAGTGATCCACCCACCTTGGCCTCCCGAAGTGCTAGGATTACAGGTGTGAGCTACCATGCCCAGCCAACATATATTCCTTAACTCAAAAATACTGTGGTATTGAAAGCTATGTGTTTTTGCTTTAATCTAAGTAGAATTCTACCTTGTTAGCTGTATTTTTTTTTAAAAGGACATGTAAAATAACTATGTGTCTTAAAACTGAAAACTCCAAGTCCTCAATCCTAATGCCCCCCTTTAGGAGTCAGATTTCTTTTCACTTAACTTCCTTAAGACTTTTCCCCAGAACTGTGGCCACGCTTAGTATTTCTGCTATGTAGCATCAGCTCTCATGACAATCTCATAAATGACTACTTTTTTATAGCTTTATTGAAATATATCTCACATATCATAACATTCACACGTGAAAGTGTACAGGTCATTGGTTTTTAGTATATTTGGAGTTGTGCAACTGTCATCACAATCTAATTTTGGAACATTTCAGCCTCACGAAAAGAAATTCCTGCACATTAACTACCATTCCCCATTCCTGCTTGTTCCCTCCCAGACCCCAGGCAATTATTATTCTAGTTTCTGTCTCTGTGGGTTCATCTAATCTGGACATTTCATATAAATGGAATCACACAATATGTGGTTTTTTGTGACTGGCTTCTTTTACTTAGCAAAATGTTTTCAGGGTTCACCCATGTTGAAGTATTGTGGACAATTGAGTACTTTATTTATTTTAATTATTGAATACTATTCTGTCACGTGCAGATGCCACATTTTATTTATCCTTTCATCAGCTGATGAACATTTAAGCTTTTTCTCACGTTTAGTCTGTTATGAATAATGCTGTTGTGAACAATGTACAATTTTTGTGTGAATATATGTTTTCAATTCTCTTGGGTATTTATGTTGGAGTGGAATTGCTGGGGCACATGCTAAACTCCATGTTTAGCACTTTGAGAAATGGACAAACTATTTTCTAAAGTGGTAACTCAATTAGCTGAGCATGGTGGCATGCACCTGTAGTCCCAGCTACTTGGGAGGCTGAGGCAGGAGAATCTAGTGAGTCCAAGGGTTCAAGCCTGCAATGAGCTATGCTTATGCCACTGCTCTCCAGCCCAGGTGACACACCAAGACCCTGTCTTTAAAAACTAAACAATAAAATAAAATAAAATAAAATAAAATAAAATAGAAGTAGCAGCTCTGTTTTACATTCCCACTAGCAATGTATGAGGATTCCAATTTACCCACATCCTCACCCACACTTACTGTTTGTCTTTTTAATTGTAGCCACCCTGGGGTTGAAGGGACATCTCATGGTGGTTTTGGTTTGCATTTCCCTCATGACTGATGATATTGAACATCTTTTCATGTGCTTATTGACAAAAGCCCACTTTTGATGTGTGCACATGGCCTGAGCCAAAAATCTTGTTGTCTTCCGATGTAGTTTTGAGTATTTTCTTCCCTTTTGTGAGACGATTTGGTTGAGAATAAAGACACTGTGCTGACGAACACTTTAACTCAGCTATGAAGTGAGTGCATCATCTTTGCTTTCTGTTTTATGAAAGAGTATTGGTGACTTTCTGGGATGGATGGGGGGCAACTAATTCTTGTGTAAAGATTTCTAATCATAGAGGAGTAAACTCTAAGGTATGTGAAGTTTGCTTGGTTTTGATGCTCCTAGGTTACCATTATATGCTTTTCTCTACCCAGTGGAGAGGCTGTTTTTCCATTTCCTCTAATGCCATACTTTCTATAGAGTCCTCTTTCAGGCTGGTTCTTTGGACAGGAAGTGAAACATATAAACATTAAGGAATATGTGGTGGAAAAATAAATCTTATTGTATTTCTTTCCCAAGCTTATTTTCAGGGAATAAAGGAATAACAGACTAACATTTTTAGTGAGAAATTACAGCAACATCAAAAGATGAAGACTTTCTTTGAATAACCTCTGTATCATTTGAGGCCCATCCAGGTGCATATGATTGAAAAGCAAACCCGGGGTAGCTTAACATGGGTAACATATTAGCTCCCATAGGCTGAGAGGGCTCCAATGGTATCATCCAATCTGTGTGTCAGAATTTTGGCTCCCATGTCATTATTCTTGGGATGCTTCCTGGAAGCTTCCAGCTCACACTATCACAACATTCAGCTTAAGAAAAAAGAGAGATTACTTATCTGATACTCCAAAGTCTTGGAACTGAGTCTCCTTGGCCCCAGATGGCCTGACCTGAGATACATGTTTATCTCTGAATCAGTGACTGTGGCCAGAATGGTGGAGCTGCCATTGGCCTCATCTAGTCCACATGGTCCCCAGTAGTTCCTATGGTGGAGTGGCTTCACTGCAGTCATGTGGGCCGAGGCTGGCAAAGTGTGGTTAGGAAGTGAGACGGAGTCTGTGTGGCAAGATGAGGAATGATCACTTTCTACTCAAAACCACAGACCACAGACAGGTTTCTTCTCTCCAAGGGTAGTTCTGGGAAGGACATTAAGCAATCATCTAGGGCAGTAGTTCTCAAACTTTAGCATGGGTATCGTTTGCTAGGGCTTATTTGTCCCACGCTCTGTATTTTAGAAGCAGATATTTTTCTACTTGCATGGGTTTAAAGATGGAGATGAATTTTGCCTCAGGATGAATCACTCCCCCACTGAGTTTCACCAGTACCTGGTTTAGATTTTTTTATATATATATATATATTTTTTTTCCACTTTTTTGATTTTTATTTATTTATTGATTTTGTGACAGAGTCTCACTCTGTAGCCCAAGCTAGAGTGCAGTGGTGTGATCTTGGCTCACTGCAACCTCCACCTCCTGGGCTCAAGTGATTCTCATGTCTCAGTCTCCCAAGTAGCTGGGACGACAGGCACACACCACCACGCCCAGCTATTTTTTTGTATTTTAGTAGACACGGGTTTTACCGTGTTGCCAAGGGTGGTCTCAGACTCCTGAGTTCAGGTGATCTGAACCATTTGAAGACAGGAGAGAGGCTTGGAATAACTCCTTCCCTGGTGCCTTCACAGGGAACATGACTCTGCAATAATAAAGTATCACAAACTGGGTGGCTTAGACAGCAAACATTTATTGTCTTTCAGTTCTGGAGAGAAGTCGGAGATGAGGGTGCCAGCAGGGCCATGCCTTAGGACCACAGTATTGAATGTTCTCTCTCTGATTTTTTTTTACTGGGTTAATTGTTATTGCTTTCTTTCTTTCTTTCTTTTTTTCAAATAGAAGAGATAAAAGTGTCCGAAGATGACGAAATGGAGAAGCTGTACAAATCGTTAGAGCAAGCTAGTCTATCTCCTCTTGGGGACCGGCGGCCTTCAACTAAAAAGGAGTTGAGAAAATCCTTTGTTAAGCGGTGTAAAAATCCATCTATAAACGAGAAACTCCACAAAATCCGAACATTGAATAGCACATTAAAGGTAACAAAATTTCAAATTGTGGATGAACTCTATGGATGTGGGGCAAGGAATGGCTAGTTCTGCAAAGAGATTCTTGCTAATCACAGCGTGTTTGTGTGGGTGCAAGGAAGGGCCGTAAATGTAAATATAATCTTTATAGGGTAAGATGACCTTGACATTCTTAAAACACTAGGACATTCACACGGTAGCGCCCAAGGCAGTTTTTCACAATAGGCCTTGATTTTTGCATTCACTCTGGTATAAAATTTCAAATTTTAAACTTCTAGACAACAAGGACCATGCATAATTTTTTTGGTAACCCTTATACTTAGCACAGTACCTGGTTCAATAAATGTTGATGAGAGACAGAGACCATCAACTGGTGAGACTAAACAGTCGTATAAATAAGATCTCGAGTTTTCATCTGATTCATGCAAGGTGCCATTCTTCAGGACTACATCCGGAAGAAAATGTCGACTTCAGCTGCATCAAAGATGTAGTGATTGTCAGCTGTGGGCATTGCAGCCAAGGAGCACCGTGAGAGCCCGACAGTGGGAAGTACACACTCTGTGGTAATAGACCAGCAGATGTTTTCACAATGGGAATAAGGGACAGTGTACAGGAAGTACTGAAGCTATTTTCAGAGCCTCCCTGAGCTGAAATGGTTCTTCATAACAAAAGTGTCCTGCTTTCACATTTAGATTATAGCATGAACAGGTGGAGGCTAGGATACTTTGTCGAATAGTCCTGATTTAGCAGACGATTTATCTGAAAAGCTTTGATAAAATCTGTAAGTGAATTTTGTTTTGTCTATGGCCTTTGGCATTAAGAACTTGAGTCATTTTTCAGGAAGAAAAGTCAGCAATTGAAAGGACAAGGCTACAAAGGCAGGCTGAGTGGCTCTTAGTCAGGCGTCCCAGTTAGTCAGTAGAACATCTGAACACCCTAAAAGGCTGCAAAAATGAGGCTGGAATGGAAAAAGAAAAATGAATTTTAATTATACGAAGAGAATACAAATGCAGAGAAATTCACTCTTATTTAATATTAACATTTTTATTGATAATAAAAGATATCACTGGCCGCCATTTCACAGTATGTACAAAGCTGATGACTATGTTTGATTATTCAATGTAATATGTCATCGTGTATTGAGATTTTACTGTCTTCTTTGTCTGTGATAGCTGATATGAGTGAGTAAAGTTTTCACTGAGCAAGTGTTTCCTGACTCTTACTATGTACCAGCCACTACTCTAGGTGACTGGGACCACTGAATGGACTCTACTGGGTGTAGAAACAGAGGAAAACAAATACATGATTGAAATGAAGTGCAAAAATACTACGATTGAGATGTGCTCAGGGTGCTTTGGTGGCCTGAGGGGGAAAGTGACTCACTGGGGGCATTAGAAACACTGTCACGAAGTCCATGAGTCAGGAAGAAATGAATAACAAGAGAAGGACATTCAAGGAAGTGGAACGTCTGTCAACGGATAATAAGCTGTCGTCCATGTTGGGAGAAGCAGGAAGTAGAGGCCAAGGAGAGCATGTGCATTTTGAGTCATTAGTAGAAGGAAAAAGGCTGTGGCCTCAGGCCTTCCACAGGGCAGCAGACTCAGGATTTTAGATCTTTACAGGCACCATGCCCTCACCTGGCCACTGTGGGGCCAAGTTTGTGAAAAGAGTTAGTGTTACCATTCACTATGGGTCTCTGTGACCTTGTGCTCTCCATGCAGTATGACCATGTCACTGGTGAATTCAGCAGCTTTTGCTTTTCTGTCAGTGTATCAGTTATCCAGTGCTAGGCAACAAATTAGCCCAAAGCTTAGCAACTTCCAACAATCAGCATTTATTATTTCAAAGTGTCTGTGGCCAGGAATCTGGGTGTGGCTTGGTGAAATGCCTCTGCCCCCAGGTCTCTCACAAGGCTGTGATCAGGGTGTCAGGTGGGGCTGCATTCATTCCTCCATGGAGAGGGATCAGTTTCTAAACCCTTGCACGTAGTCATTGGCAGGATTCAGCTCCTTTCAGGTTGTTGGACTGAGGGTCTCAGTTGCTTTCTGGCTGTTGGCCAGAGGCTACCCTCAGTTCCTTGCCATGTGGGCTTCTCCATAGGGCAGGTCACAACTTGGAAACTGGCTTCTTTCAGAGCAAGCAACACAGTGAGAGTAAGTGAGTGAGATGGGTTATAACCTAGTGGCAGTAATGACATCACATTACTTTTGCAGCATTCTATTCAGTAGAAGCAAGTCATTAGGTCATCTCGTCTTCAGGGAGGAGATTACACAAGGCCTTGAATACCAGGAAGCAGAGAAGATTAGGGGCCCGATCAGGGCTGCCTGCCCCACCCAGCTGGGGAACTGCTCTCTCTGGACATTTGTGGGAAGCAACTCTTTCCATAGATCCCTTAGGCTTCCCCAAAGTGTAGTGCTGGGGGCTGATGAAATACAACACGACCCATGTCATGCAGTCCTATTAACCTCAGGAAGTAAGAGGATATGCTGATGTGGAAATTGGTCTTGCTGAAGAAGCCAAACAAAAGCAAAGCACGTCAACCTATTCAAAGGAGAGAGAGAACTTGGTACATGTGTGCATGTTCATATTGGAAGGGTATAATAATTACTTCTAATTGTTTTTAAAATTCAAAGCAGTCAAGAGAGTGGTTGCCTTTGAGGAAGAGGAGAGGATGGGACTGAGAGGGGATGTGAATGGAGCTTCTGAGTGCTGGCTGCGGGTCCTTCTGTGACCTCGATAGTAGTTGTATGGAAGTGTTTATTTTGTGATAATTCTTTAAGCACATTTTTTCTATTTGTGCACTTCTCTCTGAGTATTATGTATTGCACAGAGAATATATCACACACAGAGGAAATGTTTATTTTTTAAAAGCTTCAAAGTAGGAGTGTGGACAAGCAAAGACAACAGATTTCATGCAGAAACAAGGAAACTGTTTTAACAATAATGTTTATATTTGCCATAGGCGCATTCCGTAAATAAGAAAAATCCCTGCACTGGGATAGTGCTGGAATGAACGCACTTCAGGGAAATTCTTCTAGGAAGTTGAGCGAACTTCCAAGTTGACCTTGAGCAAAAGTTGATCGTATTATGTTGTACACGAAATACATATATTTAGGAATTTCTAACAGCTCACCGTTCACTGACTTTTGGCTAAGCCTGTTTTTATTTTAAAATAAATTATTAATGGAATGATTAATGGGTCCAACTGAAACTCTCTCTGAGTTACTCTGACCTATGTCACAAGAGCGGTGAACCTCCTCTTCCCATAGCTGCTCTGGTAGAACACATTTCCAAAGCTTAGGTCTTGAGTCAAGCCACGCACTGACTATTTGGAGTAAAAACTGAAAGTACAGCATTCTCTCTTTCATGATATTTTTGGAATCCCTGCCAAACCTTGCTTGCCTGCCAGAAAGCAGAGCGGATGTTGTGAAAGCAGTTCAAAGCCCTCCCAAAGCCTCCTGCGCCATCCAGGAGAAGCTGGGCTGCTGGACGAGGCCCAGCCCCAGGGTGCCCGGTGTAGGAAGGAGCATGGAAGGTTCTGTTGTTGTCATTAATTTCCTTCTTCTGTATTATTGTCTACATTTTTTTTTCTTTCATCCGTGAAAGAACTAACACAGATTTGAGCCAAATGGTAAAAAATTTGAACTGCTTAGAGCCAAAAGCCACATGAGAAGTGTCAGCTTAATGCCCAAAATTGAAGAGACCCTTTTCTAAAAATTTTATTAGATGTAAAAGAAGGGTTAATTCATGTTTGCTTTTTCAAAGTCAATTTCCCTGATTTTTATTAACCTTCAAAGATCTTATTTAGTTTTTTAATATAAAAAATTAGGATCTTCCTCTGAAGCAGATGTCTAAATTTCTTTAGAACAAAATAAAACTCTTTAAATAACTTTACATTAATAGCACTATGGTGATAGCAGAGGAAGAAAGCTTTTTTTTTTTTTTTGGAAAAGTTGTTTTGGAAGCGTAGATATTGAAAACTCAGAGAGAAGAAATATGCTCTTTTGGCCCTGTCTAACTTTCTATAAACAATCCATCTGCTTTCCTACTGCACCATTTTTTCTACATTTTGGAAGGAAGGTTTCGTATCTTTATCCATCTATATGTCTATCTTCTGTCTGTCTGTCTCTATCTATCTATCTATCTAATGGCCTATCTATCTATCTATCCAGCTATTGATCTATAAATCTATCTATATCTACTTTATTTGTTTAATGGAAAGGATTTCCTCAGACTCCAAATAGGGTCCAGAATGCAAAAGAGAATAAAAAGCAAATGGGTAATTCATTTATTCATTTATTTCTTATTTTATATATTCATTTTTTCAACAAGTATTCGGCAGATGTCTACATGTGTCAGTCATTCTTTCAGGCACTTGGGGCTATATAGCAGTGGGCATATGAGACAAAAGGCCTGCCTTCAGGAAGCTTATGTTTTAGTAGGAGAATAAACAAGCATAATTGACTATTAAGTTTTATAATATAATAAGTGATGATAGATTTGATAAAGAATAGAAAAGAGAGGGGATATAAAATATTGAGGAATTGATATTTAAATAGGAAAGACGTGAAAGGCCTCCTTGAAAGACATAATTGGTATAAAATCTGAAAAAGGAAAGGGAATGAGGCTTGAGGTTTTCTGAGGCCAAAAATGCAAACACCTTGGGGCAGGAGTGTGCCTAGGGCATTTAAGGAAGAGCAGGGAGGTCAGGGTAGCTGTGATGTAGTGGGGATGGAGCATGGGGAGAGTAGCAGTGTGCCAGGGACACGGGGATTCGAGCCACTGAGGACCTCATTGCCATTGCAAACACCAGCTTCTACTTGGAGTAAGACAGTGACCCTCTGGAAGGTTCTGAACAGAGGGATGGCATGCTTTGTGTCATGTTTGAAGGTAGAATCATCAGGCTTTGCTGGTGGATTGGGTGTGATAGAAGGAGTCAAAAATGACTCCAGTGTTTGCCCTGAGCAGCTGGAAAGACGGAGTTACCATTAAGTGCTTTGTGGAAGACTACGTTAGGAATAGGGTTTGGTGTGTATTGGAAGTTAGTGGGTTGGGTGGGGATGAAGAGAATAAGAGGAACTTAGCTTTAGATATGTTATTTTTGAGATGCCTTTTAGGGATTGATGTGGAACTACTGAAGAGGAAGTTTAGACAAATGATGGTGGAGTCCAGGGGAGAAGTAAGGAGAGATATAAATTTGGGACCCTCAGCACATAGGAGAGTGGGAGAGATTACATGTGATTACCAAGAGCATGAACATAGATAGAGCAGAGAAGAGCATACAAGCTGGTGCTCTAGAACACTCCAGTGAGAAGAGGTGGCATGATGAGGAGGAACCAAAAACCAAGGTGAGAGTAAGTAGCAATTGTGGGACAAGAAAAATCAGGAGAATGTGTCACAGGAGCACAATGACGAAAGTGTTCAAGAAGGAGGAGTAGTCAATAGGTTTAGGTGCTGCTGATAAATAAGTTGAAGTTGGATCATTGGTTTAACATTGATTTAATGGATTATGGATTTAACAACATGGAGGTCACTGATGGTCTTCACAAGAGCAGTTTTGGTGAACGGTGGGGGCCAAAGCCTGGTGGGACTGAATCTATGAAGAATGGGCCATTGGAGACAGGGAGAAAGTGGAGCATTAGCTGGACAGGGATTTGGGGGCAGAGACGAATTTTAAGATGGAAGAAATAACAGTGAACATGTATACTAGTGAAACTGCTGGAGGGGATCTGGGAAGTTGGTGAGTCACAGGAGAGAAGATAATTGCTGGGATGAATTTCTCGAGTAGGAGAGTTGGGGCCATTGTACCCAAGTGGATGGACTGGGCTTTGCTAGGAGCACAGATGCTCCGTCTTTGTGAACAGGGCGGAAGGCAGCATATATTTGTATCCATGTAGTTCATGGGCAATAGGCACTTGGGAGAAGTGCTCTTCTGATGGCTTCCGTTTCCTCAAAAAAGAGACAGCAAGGCCATCAGCTGTGAGTGAGGATGAGAGAGGGGGTTTGAGATGAGAAGAGGTTTTGAAATAGTTATTTGGGAGACTGCCAGAAAAGGGATGTGAAAGTGTGATGACCGGAGAGTAGTGAAAATCCACTTGCTGGTAGTGGTTGTGAAGTTTTAGCTTCACACATGTTTTCCTGGGTATAGTCAAAAAGGGTGGTTCAATCACATGCATTAGTTGAATGTCCACATGGCACTTGGCATTGTGTTAGGTGCAGGGAATACAGGGATGAAGGAAATGTTTCTTGTCATCTTCTTTAAGCTTTAGAAGAGGGGCCATGACTTATCCGTAAATACCTAAATGTACATTGGTAAGTTCTCAGAGGGCTTCACTGGAAGGCACGAGAACATAAACGCTTAAAAGCTCATCAGTCCAATTTTGGGGGTGCGGGGGAGGTTTCCTTTATAATGTGATGCCTCAGGGGAGTAAGATTTACGGGTTATGAAAAATTGGGTGGGCCGGGCGCAGTGGCTCACGCCTGTAATCCCAGCACTTTGGGAGGTTGAGGCGGGTGTATCACTTGAGGTCAGGATTTTGAGACCAGCCTGGCCAACATGGCAAAACCCTGTCTCTACTAAAAATAGAAAAATTAGCTGGGTGTGGTGGCGCATGCCTGTAATCCCAGCTACTCAGGAGGTTGAGGCAGAAGAATCGCTTGAACCTGGGAGGCGGAGGTTGCAGTGAGCTGAGATCAGGCCACTGCTTTCCAGCCTGGGCAACAGAGTGAGACTGTCTCAAAAAAAAAAAAAAAAAAAAGAAAAAAGAAAAAAGAAAAGAAAAGAATTGCGTAAAGAAAAATTGGAAAGTGTTCTCTGTAAAAGAAACTCTAGAAATTAGAGTTTATCAGGTGAAGAAAGGCAAGGAAGAGTCTCCATGTGGCACAACCACACGGAGGTGTGAGCTAGTGTTGTGTGGGTGAGAAAATGCACGCCAGTACATTAGACTGGAAAGTCAGAAGGAAGCAGAGTATCAACAAATGGTGCCAATGCAGGTGAAGAGCCTTTGGTGTAAGGAGATCCATGAGGGGGACTCGGCATCTCGATGCCTCCTTGCTCTGCTAAGTGGAGGTGGAGTTGATGTGGGCACTGGAGGCAGTGGTCTTGCTCAGGAGGCTGTGTCAGCAGATCAGGTGTGATACACTGAACTGGATATCCACTCTTAGGACTATGGTCAGGGATAGAGAAAACAGGCATAGATTTGAGATACAATTGTCAGGGCTGAATATTTGTTTTTAATATGGAGGATGAACATCTTATTTTTACTCCATTCCTTGTCTATAGAAAACTCTAAGCTGAGCTAGACATTTCAGAAATGTGTGTCATTGGTTACAGAGGAGGCAGAGTGGAATAGCACCAATAGGTTGTTTATTAATATTATTGGAATACATACTGTTTTGATGGAAGGTTAGTAGCCTCTTCTTTGACTAGAAAGATGACCTGTGTATTTAGTCTGTGTATATTAATTAAATTAATGGGATTTATTAAAATAAAGATAATTTAATAAAATCTTAAAAGATATATTTTATGTTGCCTCATGTCCTAGGTAAAGTGTTACGTTCCAGTTTTACTTAGCGAAGTTTGAATAGTCAATGAAATGCTAATACCTTCAGTGATAAGTTTTAGGAGGCATGAGTCCCACACCAAGGTAGAATTGTTACTGCAGTGTGGAATAATGGATTGATCAGGGAAAGGCACCATAGAAGACCTTTGCTATATGTCTAGCTCTTCCACCAACTCTTGGGTGGGATACTTCACTTCTTTGCGGCTAGCATATGCAAACAAATGTCATATCTGTTAGGCTTGATGCGGGAATTAGAATATGAACGTGCAAAAATGCTTTGGTAATTTTATGTGAATGTATATGTGTACTTGTAAAAGAGTTGCTAAAGATGGTTTATGTAAATTAAGACACTCTCAACATCCCCCCTTCCCCTTTTTTTCTACTCGCACAGTGTAAAGAACATGATCTGGCCATGATTAACCAGTTGCTGGATGACCCGAAGCTGACAGCCAGGAAATACAGAGAGTGGAAAGTCATGAACACCCTGCTGATCCAGGACATCTATCAGCAGCAGCGGGCTTCGCCTTCCCCTGATGACACTGATGACACCCCCCAGGAACTCAAGAAATCACCTTCTTCTCCCTGTGTTGAAAATTCCATTTGAGACACAAAGTCAGGGTTTTATCCTCTTATATTTTATCACGAGCAACTCTTCAAGATATTGCAAAAGCTTACATTTTTCCTTAAAAGGAAAACTGAATCCCAGTCCTTCAAGCATCAGCTTCCCATCTAAAGATGCACCTTACATGAAGATAATCACCAAATACACCAGGGCTCCTCATTCCAGTCGTAACGCATCCATTGAGACTGGAATGATTGAGTTCAGTTGAAAGGCGTTTTTTGTGTTCCTACTGGGAGCTCACGGTGATGCAGGGCTCTAGGAGGGATGTGAGAAATGTCTGTCCTGTTCCTTGCTCTCCAGAGAATGCTATGGACGAAAATCAAATTTTACCAGGAATAATTGTCCATGAAAACATTCTGTTTTTCAAAAGAAGAATGTACATATGCCACTTGGCTGGGAAGCTGTGTGGTCCAAATCACTTTTTGAGTGGAGGAATGTTTTCCATAGCAGTTGCAGGGCAAAAATTCCTTGCCTTTGGTATAGAATGGTGGTGACTTTTCCACGTGTTGGGAAATACCTGATAGACAGTGGCGTGTGGGAGAGCTGAAGGAGGAGGCGTGTTCCATATTCCACTCACTCAAAGGACAGCTTAGTGTTTTCACACTTTGTGCAGGTTAGGGGATCTGATTAATGTTTCCTTTCCTTACAACAGCTAGAGAAAACATCTCATCACAATTGGCGACCTCTACTCCCTTCGAACTTTCCTACTCAACGGTAGGAGATAGTAATATGTCCAGCAAAGAATGTCTACTGCTGTTGTCCTTGGCTGTGATCCCTATACATAGTGTGAATTTATATCCAGATTTCCCAGGATCAATATTGACAAGATGACTTTGGCATCTGAATTGTTTTAATATCTTTACTCAAAAAAAAAAAAAAAACACACAAAAAACAAAAACAAAACAAAAACCCACCGAAACAACAAAGGAGTTAAACATGATGGTTTTATTTTTGTATGTTTATATGTCACTTGTGTGCTATGTGAATAGCTATCTATGTTTGTTATTTAAATATATTTATAGAAGTTCAAATTACTAGTGTTTTAAAAGATGATATACTATTATATATTGTGCTTAGTATATATTTGATGAGTCTAGACTTTTTTGCTTGAGAAAAATAGAAATACTGTTGATTCACTGGTGTTACGATGTTGCACTATAATGTCTGAGGAATGCTCAGGAAATCTTGTGGGAAAAAAATGGGGCATGCATTCATAATTTTTCTTTTTCTTCCCCACCCCAAACCCCATGAGCTCTTACATTTAGATTTCTATCTCTTGTCAGTCACTCTTTTAACCAGAAAAGGATTTTCATCTTAGATTATCCTTTCTATTAAATAAACTTTAAGCTTTGCGCCATTTATGCCTGCAAACCTTAGATCAAAGGCAACACAACTAATGTCATCTTTTCATTAAAGACTAATAGAAATTTGGAAATCACTGTGGTAAAGAGAGCTCATAGAGAAACAATATGAAAGTCTTCCCTTACTAATCACCATGAATATTTCTCATCATAGGAATAACCACAACCCACCGAGTACCCATGTTGGCCCTGCCTACCCGTAACAAATTGTTGACATAACCTATTTTGTTTTATAGCTTCAAAGTGTGGCTTGACATTCAAATGGAAGAAACCACTCGAATTATATCTGCAAACAAAATGGAAATAGTTATTTCCCCAAGCTTTACTAAGAAGCTTTAATACTCTGTAAACAAACAAACAAACAAAGAAACAGAAAACAACCTTAGCATTAAGAAATAAAAATAAAAAACAAGAAGCTACTAGAAGCTTCTCTAAGATAAGAGGCCAGGCCAATCAGTTTGGCCCAGCAAACATGTGGGTACTTCTCCACCTAGGGAAGCTAGTGAAGATGAGTTTGACCTGTGGTGACCTGACGGAGGGAACATTCGGATCCTCAGATTGCACCCTGATGCCCTGGTCTGGGAGAGCAGTGCTTTAACCTTTTGGCCCTGGAAACTACTGATTCTTTCTGTGATTAGCAGATACTAGAAGGGAAATTATTTAGGATTGGCAATGTAAAGAGTATTGAAGGAACGGCAAATAACAATAGCAGAAATAACAGTGTGACACAAAGTACCTTTCCATTTATTTTTCTTTGGTTTGCAACACCAACCTGTAGACTTCCAGTTTTTCTTAAATTGAAGAGCTCCAGACACTTTTGAGCAGGGTTTGTGAATACCTTCGAATGCTTTCCTTTGGCTTCTCTTGAAGACATATTTCCCCAGCCTTTCAATGTAAACTCCTTTAGTACCATTCAAACTTAAAGGCAAAAAAGATCCCTGGGATTACATAGCCAAGGCTTAAAGTTATTTGTCAAAGATATGTCAAGAACGTTAGCCTAGAAGTTTTCGCTTTGCTAGTTAAAGCTGACTGCAGAGCTTCCCAAAGTGAAAGCAAAACTGAACTTCACAATTTTGCACCTGGCTTTCTGGAGCCCCATTGCCTGCTCATTCGTGTTTTTCCCCCTGTAAATTCTTTTGCTTTTGACCAGGTTGTACTCCAAAGTAGGGCTGCTTCTGTGAGTTCTCAGCCTAGGCTGTGGACACTAAGACGTGGGTGGGGAGATAGACAGGAGTGAGAGGGAGAGTGGATGACACTTGCCATGACACTCAATGTAGGAAGGCTTGGGCTTCTCTCTCGGCCTCATGCCACTTTTCTGGTCCAAAGAATATTGGGAAAACTGGATTACTTTCAGCATATTTCTTGAGACTAGGTCATCTCTGAAATGCATGGCGTAGTTTCATGGAGTCCAAGGGCCAACTCCTATACCCAGTTCTACAGTGTCTGTGAACTGTGGAATGAGAGAGAAAACCATGGCTGCTCAGGAAGGAAGTGGAGAACCTCTCAGCACACGTAGATCCAAATCTGTGGCACCTGCTAAAGATTAGGATTTGGAGAGGACTCCTCTTTGGGGTTGTGAAGAGGACCTTTTCCCTCTATTGTTAGCGTGTAGATCCAGAACGGAGCCTGATGGGATGCCCTCACTGGTTAATACATTGCAAATAGACATGCTAGGCCCTGCATTGGAAGGGCCTCTGTTGCTTTAAAGAATTCTTAGCTTTGCCACAAGAGCTCAAATCTCAGAGTAGGATCAAAGGCCTAGAAAGACTCCTAAAGTATAGGATTACAAAGACTCCAGGAAGCGTAAGAAAGAGATTGTGTCTGGAGTCAGATTTCAATGTGAAACCCATGCCTTATATTTACACAGCACTTTGTAGTTTGCAAATGGGTGTGTTTTCAGCCCCCTCCCGCTGCCCCACGCCCTACGTGAGATGATTGTGGATTATTACAGTGAAGTGCCTGGCCCAGAGCCCCAAGTGGTAAAGCGGGAACTTGAGTCTCAGGACTCCCAGCGGCTCTCTGCCCTTTCCCTTCTCTCCGCCCCCCACCTTGCTTCACCTGTTACCTTGTTAAGTTGCTGTTGGCACACAACCCACTAGGAAACCAAGAAGTTTGACTGGAGTGTGTGTTTCACTGCACTGGGTTCAGCATAGGGCCGGCCCTGGTGGCTGTTAGGCTACATTCTCCGTTTGAAACGTAAGGGGCCCTCTGTGCTTGAGCACAGTCTCCTCCTAATGGCCCTGCCTCAACCTGCTGCCGGGCTGTCTGTGGATTGAGTTTTCACCTAATCATGCTGTGTTTCCTTTCCTTTCTTTCTGTACGTTAGACTACTTGGGAAGTGCTGTGAGATCCTTGGATGAAAAACATGTATTTAAAGAAATGAAGAGTGTTTATTTTGTTTGCTTTTTGAGGCATGTGCTGTCAGATGTCAGAGACCCCAGTTAGTGAATAGAGGTTGGTCCTTTGACCTTCTTCTCTTAATTGCTTTTCATGTAATCATGATAATTTACTCAGGTAGCACTGCAGTCACAAACAATGTCACAGAAACAGATTCAAAGAAAAAATGTTTTTAAGTCTTGAAAAGAAGTGCTATTCAAATTTAAGCCATGTTTAAATTCGTAGGTACATTATCTCTTAGTAAGAAAGACTTTTTTTTTTAGACGGAGTCTCACTCTATTGCCCAGGCTGGAGTGCAGTGGCGCAATCTCAGCTCACTGCAACCTCTGCCTCCCGGGTTCAAGTGATTCTCCTGCCTCAGCCTCCCGAGTAGCTGGGACTACGCCCAGCTAATTTTTATATTTTTAGTAGAGACCGGGGTTTACCATGTTGCCCTGGCTGGTTTCAAACTCCTGACCTCAGGTGATCCGCCTGCCTCTGCCTCCCAAAGTGCTAGGATTACAGGCGTGAGCCACCACCCTCGGCCGAAAGACAGTATTTTGATAGAGCCACATACATGATTTAATGAGTAATGTTAAGTACAGAAAAGCTGCCGTATCCACATAAAGTTTTAGGGGGCATTTGTTCTTCAGTCTAACAAGAATATGATATCCGATTGTGGTTTTCCAATTTATTTCTCTTCCAGTTTTTTTTTGTATACCTCACAGGAGAAATCGAGTCCTAGAACTGGGAGATGACTGCCTTGCCCAGGGTTTTGTAATACATAGTTGAAAACAAAAGCCCCTGAAACTAAATGTTTGCAGCCTGTATGAAATGGACTGTGGAAGGCGGGTAATTTCTCTCCTCACAGAAAGCCACTCGTCTCCTTGAATGAGACACTGAGCAGACATACGTTTCTCTGTGTCGTGGAGCCGGGAAACATTCCCTTGCCTCTTCAGCACATCTCAGTTCTTCCCCACATGACCCCAGAACCACTTAGAAAACATTGAAATGGATTCTTCATTGAAAGAAGCTTTATAGTTCTCTTGCTGTAAGGATACTTAACTGCTCTGTATTTGACTTTTTTTTTTTTTTTTTTAACCTTTAGCCCAAAAAGGAAGTGTGCCCCATGGAAACAGCAAATGCCGTAAAATAAAAACCAGGAGTTTTAATCGCCATATATTTTAATGTGCTTGCATGATGGGAATGTGACGTTTAGCACTGCATGGTGTTTGGGGGCAAGATATTAATGTGGAAATCTTAGCTTAAGTTTTTCTGTGCTCTCATCCTGTGTCAGCTACCCCTCTGAACTGAAAAAAGAGGCATGGCTCATTTCTCTCCTGCTTTATGTTTTTGAGGTTGACTTGTAAGATAAAAATAAAAATAAGAAAAACAATATATATCTAGTAAAATGACATGAAAAAAAAAGTTGAAATATACTACTGGTGTTCATTTTCTGTCCTGCAGTGTTGCCTTCTCAAAGAAATAAACATGTGGCTGGGAAGTGTTTAATGGCTGCGTTTTGATCGTCTACAAAGGCTACAGTGCCCTCTGGTGGCAGTCATCAAAATCGCTTCTAGACTCTAGATTTGTTTTTATTTTTAAATAACAGATCTAATTATTTTGGAAATCTATTTAAACAATAACCGATGTGATCTTTTCCAGTGGTTCTCAAGTTACAGGTTTATTAATACAATGATATTTAGATTTTTCAAAAATTGCCTATGGACCACTAAATTTGACTTGCACATTATATTATTATTATTTCTAGGCACCCATATTTTGTTCAAAAAATTTAAAAAATTTGCATATTATAAAAGTTACAAACTGTGATGCGCAAGCTCCTTAAAACATGTGAGATATTTATTTGAAAATGAACAAAGAAAATGATGAAATAGCCTAATATATTGCCTTTCTTTTGGATCCACTGATCAGAGGGAATCAGGCTGCATTTGAACTCATTCATGCTCCTTGACTGCTGTCTACACACACAGAGTTTTCATTTTGTTCCTCGTTCTCTCCCAGTTCTCACCTCACAAGCCAAGCTCACCTTCTGTTTCTTTGTCCTGCCACCACCAAATATTTCTAGGCTCCTACATGGAAGCAGTAAAAATTATTTTAGACCGGCCGGGCGCGGTGGCTCAAGCCTGTAATCCCAGCACTTTGGGAGGCCGAGACGGGCGGATCACGAGGTCAGGAGATCGAGACCATGCT